AATTAACAAGAATTCCTTAAGTATCAGATTTGCTTGCCCATAAGACAATTGAAGTACTTAAAAATCTATATTAAATTTATAAATTAAACTTAAAGGATTTAAAGGAACTTAATTGTTGCAAAAGCTTATTAAAAGTATGTATTAAAATTTGTTGGACTTATAAACAGAATAATAAAATATATTATCTAAATGTAAGAGCTTAAGATGAACTAAGATTTTAAAAATTTTATAAAATATTTGAATGTGAACATTTTAAGCAAAAGTAGACTGAGTAATCATCTCCATGTACAAAAGAAATATTAAAGACAAAGGAAAAAAGAAAGGAAAAAAAACCTCACATTACTAACTTATACATGTCTCCTAATACACATGTGCAAGACATTGTATGGTATTTGAATTTTCACTTTTATTGAATTGCTCTGCAAAGAGGCTATGTTCTCTCTCTCTCAAATAAATAAATAAATCTTTAAAAGATAAAAGATAAAATAAAAAATTTAAAAACCAAAAAGTTGAAAAGCCCAATAAAAATAACGGGCATCTAGTGATACTGATGGCTTGTCAAAGTTTTACAACAGGGCGCCTGGGTGGCTCAGTTGGTTAAGCGACTGCCTTCGGCTCAGGTCATGATCCTGGAGTCCCGGGATCGAGTCCCGCATCAGGCTCCCTTCTCCGTGGGGAGTCTGCTTCTCCCTCTGACCCTTCTCTCTCTCATGTGTTCTCTCTCATTCTCTCTGTCTCAAATAAATAAATAAAATCTTAAAAAAAAAAAAAAAGTTTTACAACAAAGTTTTCATATTTGAAGATCAGAGTAAGGGAACAGGATAACACTACAGAAACAAAAAAACAAATGCCTATTTCGGGAACATTGGATAATATCTAAAATATTATCATTTCTTGTAAAAGTCTTTGAATATTTGCAGTAAACTTCTTCAGCTATATTCAACAATTATTAAATCCCAACAGTATACTAGGCACAACTTAAAGTTATCTCATGTAACACTTATAGTTATTATGCTACAACATTGTTGTTTTCACTTTACAGAGAAAAAACACGAGGCTCGAAGAAAATAAGCCTAGTAGACACCCTGCTTAGTAGGAAGCAACTCTTGAGACTTACGTTCTTCCTTTTGCACTACACTTAAGATATTTAAGAAATGTAAATTCCTTGTATGACACAAAATTGCATAAAATTACATAGAATAACATAAACTTTTGACTTTTGAGTCTTACCCGGCCAGAATCCAAAGCAGAGGGCATATTTCTTAGTTCATACACAGCAACCTGTCCATCACTGTCACCCACTAGAAGGCAATCTGTTTGTTTGGCAAAGAGAACAGTTGTGAACTTGATTCCAGGGTTAGCAACATTCACAATGAGAGGATCCAAACTGTAATAAAACACTTTCTTTGTAAATTCAGTTGTTGTTATTACATTCTTTTTGTATACAGATTAAGAAAATTCAGATATTTTCTGTGCTTTCATGTGACAAAAACAAAACAAAATAAGCTTCTTAAGTTTCCAAAATCAAAATAATGGCTTCTCAACTCCTTAATCAATCAAACTTTCATTTCTTCAGTGAACTAATTTCAAATAAATAAATTCAAGAAGTTCACAATTAAGATGTGCACTCATAAGTTTAAGCTCCTGTGCTGGTTAACTTTATGTATTAACTTGGCTAGGCTATGGTACTCACCCCTCTACACTTTGCTGTGCGGGTGCTTTGTTTAGATGAATTAACATTTAGAGCAGTAGAATTTGAATAAAGCAGCTTACCCTTATCCTCCATAATGTTGGCAGACCTTATTCAATTTGATGAAGACCTTAAGAGAAAAGACCGAGGTCCCTGAAGTGGAATAAAACTGCCTCCAGTCTGCTTCAGACTCCTGACTGCAGCATGGACTTCTGATGGAAATTCTAGCCGGCCAGCCTGTAGCGCAGACTTGGCACTTGCCAGGCCTCAGAGTCATGTGAGCCAATTCCTTAAAATAAATCTCTTTCTCTCTTTTTATTGCTTCTGTGTCTCTGGAGAACCCTGACTAATACAACTTCCTTAGTAGTAATACCTTTTAATAGAAGGATATTTTGATCCAAATGAACCTCTGGAACGTAAAAGAATACTTTGAACAAGAACTTTTTTTATTCTCCATCGTCCAAAGCAATCTACTGATGCCCCATAAAACAACAGAAGCAGTGACTTGCATACTTCTGAAGAAATGTCCTGAGAACCACAGTTCTACCAAGAAAATTAAAATCAGAAGTGGGATGAGTTAAGTAATCATTTTATACATTAGTCATCTCATACTCAAACATAAATTGCTTTGTGATATAATCCTTGGTTTGGGGTTCAAACTGTTTTATAGTATAAGCCATGACAAAATTTTAAAGTTACCAAATTATTAACTTCTAGGGAAAAAATGCCATTAAAAATAAACCCATTGAATTTTCTGTCATTTATTTTAAGCAAGAATGTATTTCCCTGATTCTTCTGCTAATAACTAGCATAAAAATCTACAGTATTTTCCAACTGAAGGAGTAAAATCATTCAACACTTTATTCCTGTACTATACAAATTTCCATTTTGAAATGAAAGATGAGTCTAGAGGACACTCTAATAACTTTGGTGTAACCCTTTAAATTAAAAATTTTAATTAAATGCATGGCCCTGGGTGCCTGGGTGGCTCAGTTGGTTAAGCATCTGCCTTCGGCTCAGGTCACGATCCGGAGTCTCTGGATCAGGCCTGCATGGAGGTTCCCTGCTCAGCAGAGAGTCTGGTTCTCCCTCTGCCCTTCACACTGCTTGTGCTCTCTCTCTCTCACTCTCTCTCTCTCTCTCAATAAATAAATAAATATATCTTAAAAAAAGAGATTCTTAAAAAAAATAAAAATAAATGCATGGTCTTTTGAATATGTTTTAAAACAAGGTAAGAGAATACGTAAATATTGTAAAAAATAATTATTTTGTTCCCTTTATCTTATTGCAGAAAATCTTCAGTTAAAAACAAACAAGTTCCTCTCTCCATTCTTCTATAAAGTAGGCAATGAAAATTCAAGGTAGCTATCATAACTCATATCAGCCTGTAAAAGTTTGAGATGGATAAGATGACCTACTTTCATTTAAATATTTTTAAAAACACATATGGTCTAAGTAGCTAAAATGAATATAGCATCCTGGCATATATCTTTTACTCGTAGAGGACGCTCACAGTGTAAACTATTACTTGTTTTAAAGTAACTACAATTCCCTCTAACCAATACCAAATCTATCAGGTATCATTTAGTTTAAACTGCTTTTATGAGAAGTATCACCAAGAAAAACATTAACACTTACGTGCTGACATGAAGGTCCCAAATCTCCACTCTGCTCTCATTTGCAGCTGCAAATATATAGGAGGATTTTGGAGACCAGGCAACATCGTAAACAACATAAGTGGTTGGATAAAAGCTCAAAAATGGTGTGGTGTTCTCCTGTTGCCATATAATAACACTCCAATCTGCAGAACAGCTTAAGAACACATCATGACAAAATGGATTCCATGCTATTTTATACACTGGGCCCTAGAATTAGAAAAATAAATTAAAATACATAGATAAATAATATTGAACATCTTATATTTTAAACCTGACCAACAAATTAAAATGCTAAGCTTTCTAGAAGATTTATGCACCATACATTATTGTGTATTATTTTAGCTGAGAGTAACGTCATAGATAGAATCTTCCCTAAATTATGCCATATGGAAACATAAAAATAGAGCTGTTACAATACTAACTAAATATTAATACATACTATACTTATTTACTTTAAGAGTATAAGGATTATTTTTTTAAAATGAGGGAGAAAATGAAGAAAACATAGATGGAACAATCACAAAGGATACAGAAAATAAGTATATGCCAGACACATTTTTACTTTGGGATCAGCATGTCATAAGCAAAGTCTTTTAGAACCAAATGAAAATTGTAACTTCCACAACTTGCAAGAAGAGATCAAGAATATCGAAAAGCCAGGGGTGCCTAGTGGCTCAGTCAATTAAATATCCGACTCCTGACTTCAGCTCAGGTCATGATGTCAGAGTCATGAGATTGAGGCCTGTGTGGGGCTCCATGCTGAGCATGGAGCCTGCTTAAGATTCTCTCACTCCCTCTCCGTCTGCCCCTCCCCACCCCCCAGATCGCATATATGCGTTCTCTCTCTCTCTCTCTCAAAAAAAAAAGAAAAAGACTATCTAGAAGCCAAATAAGATGCCCCACATGTTATTGATGTTTCCATACAAGAAAGCACTTAATTCAAGTTGGTAATGTTAACTCTGAAGTTGTAAATCTATTGCATGTTAAAAGTACTGTGTATAATACTATTTTTTTCAGAAATATTAAAAGATAAATTTTCCATACCTACTATAATTAAACTAACCTTATGTCCTCTGTAGGTATCAAGGTATTGTTCATTATACGAACAAGAGCATTTGTGAATATGACCTTCTTCAGTGCCAGCCAAATAGATATTTGTATCCTACAACACAAAAAATTAAAATGTATTAGTTTGTGATACATTAGTAAATATGCTAAATAGAAAATGAGATCCCTCAAGATCTATTAAAATCAATTCTAGAACCCAAACTAGAAATACTATCTTGATCATGGTTGTCTGTTGTCTTTTGCTTTCTATCATGATTTTATAATAATTAAACTACCTGAAGGACTACTATGCAAAGAAAATACAGGTTTGTTCTTTGCTGGAATAGATGGAAGAACTTAGATCCTATCTAGAAATTAAATGGACAAACACTGGCTTAAAATGAGGAAGAAAATTTCCAATATTTAAAGTCACCTAATAATGGAACTAATAATGGAATCCAGGGAAATAGTAAGTGTTCTTTTCATTAGAACTAGTCAAAGAGAAGACAGATGACTTAACAGTAATTGTTTATGTATATAATGCTGAAGAAATGACTCTGGCTTGGAATGAAAGATTGAAATAAATGGATTTTTAACACTGAATGTATGCACTAAATAGAGATTTTAAGTGTATTTCCTACACTGAAGTCATAGTCAAAAGTTCTGAAAGTCAGGCTCTATGTCCTGGCTATGTAAAGTCAGTATCACCTGGGAGCATTTTAGAGATGCAAAATCTCAGGCCCTACCCCAGACCTACCGAATCAGAATCTGCATTTTAACAAGATTCCCAAGTAATTTGTATGCACATTAAAATTTGAGACACACTGCTCTAGCATGTACCAGTACTTAAGAATGCAACTACTAGATCATGGAATATAAGTAGTTTTAAAATTTTTTTAAATTTTTTATTGTTATGTTAATCACCATACATTACATCATTAGTTTTAGATGTAGTGTTCCATGATTCATTGTTTGTGCATAACACCCAGTACTCCATGCAGAACGTGCCCTCTTTAATACCCATCACCAGGCTAACCCATTCTCCCACCCCCCTCCCCTCTAGAACCCTCAGTTTGTTTTTCAGAGTCCATCGTCTCTCATGGTTTGTTGGAATATAAGTAGTTTTAAATAACACAATAAAGTATATTTTTCCCCAAACTGGTATTACCAATTTATATTCAGCAGTATATAGAAGTTCCCTTTGAGGGTGCCTGGATGGCTCAGTTGATTAAGCAACTGCCTTCGGTTCAGGTCATGATCCTGGAGTCCCAGGATCAAGTCCCACATCAGGCTCCCTGCTCAGCAGGGAGTCTGCTTCTCCCTCTGACCCTCCTCCCTCTCATGCTCTCTATCATCCTCTCTCTCTCAAATAAATAAATAAAAATCTTTAAAAAAAAAAAAGAAGTTCCCTTTGATCCACATTCTCATCAACAGTTGGGTTACATTAGAAATCTTAAATTTTGCCATTGTATGAGGTATAAAATTATACCTAACGGTTTTAGGTCCCATGTTTATGAATATTAACAAGGTTGAGCACATTTTTATGTTTACTGGCCATTTGTATTTCCTCTTCTGTTCATGTCTCTTAACTATTTTACTCATATTTTTTATATTCATTTCTAAGGAAGTTCTTTATATATTCTATATATAATTATATATTATATTTATATATCTATATTATATATTGTATTACATATGCTTGTCTATTATAAATGTTGCAAATATCTTCTCCAAGTATATGGTTTACCTTTTTACTTTCTTAGTATTTGACAGAGAGAGAGAAAGATAGAGAGAGTGGGAACACAAGCAGGGGGAGTGGGAGAGGGAGAAGCAGGCTCCCCGCTGAGCAGGGACCCCAATGTGGGGCTCAATCTCAGGACCCTGGCATCATGACCTGAGCCCAAGGCAGATGCTTAATGACTGAGCCACCCAGGCACCCCTCTTTGGTGTCTTTTGATAAACAGAAGTTCTCCTTTTAATGTAGCTGGTCTTATAACTTTTTTATATATTAGCATTTTTTTGTGCTTTGTTTAAGAAATTTTTCCTATTTTGAGGTAATAGAAATGTTTTCCTACATCTTCTTCTAGAAGTTTTTTGTGTATGATGGGGTAGGTGTCTAATTCCATTGTTATATGGATAATGATTATTCCAACACCATTTATAAGTAGGTTATCTTTCTCTAGAGATCAAGGTCACTGTCTAGAGTTGTTTTTGTCAGTCTATTAAAATCTGAGATTTCCATTCAAGAGATTTATTAGGGAGTTCTCTTAGCAACCATCTCTTTGAAAGGAACAGAAATGGGCAGAGATTTAAGTTGAACTATGATGCAGTTGCAATAGAGGGCTCAGCCCAACCTCCAAGAAGTTCTGGAGTTGAGATAGCCCTTCAGAGTCCTACCTCCAGCCAAGGAAGCCAGACATATTATACCACCATCCTCCACCACCACCAATAAAGTAGTGAAGCAAAATGATAGACTCAAACCAAACCATATCAAAATCAAACTAAATGTAAATGGTCTAAACATCACAATTAAAAGGCAGACATTGTAAGATTAGATAAAAAAGCAAGACCCAACTATATGTGACCAATAAGAAATGTACTTTAAATATAGAGACATACGTAGGTTAAATGTAAAAGGATGGAAAATGATTTAGGAAACAAAACAAACAAACATGGCGGGGGGGGGGGTTGGTGGGGAATGAGAGGAAGACCAAGAAATAGACTCTTAACTATAGAGAACAAACTGATAGTTACCAGAGGGGAGATGGGTAGGGGGATGAGTTAAATAGATGATGGGTATTAAGGAAGGCACTAGTTGTGATGAACACCAGGTGTTGTATGTAAGTGCTGAATCACTAAATTCTATACCTGAAACTAGTATCACACTGTACATTAACAAGAATTTACATAAAAACTTAATTTAATAAAAGCATGCTAACACTAGTTGAAAGAATGCTGGGTGCCTGCATTAATATCAGATTAAGTTGATTTCAGAGTAAATAATATTACCAGTTATAAACAAAGCCACTTTACAATGATAAGAGAGTTGATTAATCAAGAGAACATAACAATCCTACACATTTATATATCTAAAACAAAGCATCAAGCTAAAAACTGATAGAATTACAAGGAAAAAATAGAAAAATCCCCAGTTATGGCCAGAGACTTCAGTACCTCTCTCTTAATAACTGACAGAAGAAAATCAGCAAGGATATAGTCAACTCGAACAACACTTTCAACCACTCTAACATGATTGTCATTCATAGAACATTCCACCCAACAGCAACAGAATATATATTTTTCTGAAGTGCACAGTGAAATTTACATGTAAATATCACTTTCTGGGCTTTAAAACAAATCTCAATAAATTCAAAAGGATTCAGTATAAAGAGTTCATTCTCTGATCATGATGTTATTGAATTAGAAATCAGTAACAGAAAGATCCTTGGCAAAGTACCAAATATTTAAAAACTAAATAGCATGCTTCTCAATAATCCACCCATCAAAAAAGAAATCAAAGGAGAAATTAGAAAGTATTCTGAATAGAACGAAAATGAAAATACAACATATTAGAGTTTGTGGGATGCTGCCAAAGCAGTATTTAGAGAGAAATTATAGCACAAATGCGTCTATTATAAAAGAAGAAAAGTCACAAATCAATGATCCCAGCTTCCACTTTAAGAAGCCAGAAAAAGAAGAGCAAATAAAACCACAGTAGAAGAAAATAAAAGATCAAATTAGAAATCAATTATATAGAAAACAGAAGAACAATAGTGAAATACAGAGAAATCAAAAGCTGGTTCTTTGAGATCAATAACATTGATAAATTTCTAGCCAGACTAAAAAAAAGAGAAAGAAGAGAGAAGACACAAATTACTAGTAGTAGGAATTAAAGAGGTGATATCACTACATATTTTATAACTATTAAAGGATACTAAGGAAATATTACTATGCCACTAAATTTAATAACTTAGATGAAATAAATTCCTTGAAAGATACAAATTACCAAAGTTCACTCAAGAAGAAATAGATAATAATATAATAATAACCCTATATCTATTTAAAATTTGAATTTCTAGTTGAAAGTGAAAAATCTTCCCAAAAGAAAACTCCAGGCCCAGATGGTTTATTAATTCCATCAAACACGTAATGAATAAATAATGCTAATTGTATGCAAATTCTTTCAAAAAAGTAAAAAGGGAATACTTTTCGACTAATTCTACAGGATTATCCCAACACCAAAACCAGACAAAGACATTACCAGAAGAGAAAACTATGGATGAATATCCCTTACAAACAAAGATGAAAAATCTTTTTTTTTTTTAAAGATTTTATTTATTTATTTGAGAGAGAGAGAATGAGAGAGAGCGAGTACATGAGAGTGGGGAGGGTCAGAGGGAGAAGCAGACTCCCCGCCGAGCAGGGAGCCCGATGCGGCACTCGATCCAGGGACTCCAAGATCATGACCTGAGCCGAAGGCAGTCGCTCAACCAACTGAGCCACCCAGGCGCCCCAAAGATGAAAAATCTTAAACAAAATTTTAGCATATCAAATCCAACAGTAGATTAAAAGTATAAATCATGATCAAATGGGATTTATTTCAGAAACAAAAATTTAAAAATTAATGTAATTCATCATGTTAACAAACTTAGAAAGAAAAACTATATAATCATCTCCATAGACGTAGAAAAAGTATTTGACAAAAACCTAACATCCATCCCTGATAAAAGTCTCAACAAATGGTAATGTAATGGGATCTCCTCAATGTGACTGCATCTACAAAAAAACCACAGCTTACATCATACTTAATAGTAAAGGGACTGAATACTTTCTCCCTAAGATCAGAAACAAGAGGGGGATGTTTGTTTTCACCACTTCTATTCGTCATTGTGCTGGAAGTTCAAGCCACTATAATCAGGAAAGAAAAAGAAATAAAAGGTAACCAGATAGGAAAGGAAGAAGTAAAACTATTTACAAACTACATGATTATCTCAAATTCTTTATGCCAAGGACATTTCTAGGACACCAGACACCAGAAAAGGATTTCTCAATCCAACACCATTGATATTTTGGGTCGGATAATAATAAGAAGAAGAAGAAGAAGAAATATAATAAAATTATTATCGTTATCCTTCTCCTCCTCCTTCTTCTTTCCCTTCTCCTTCTTTTTTCCTTCCCCTTGTCTTTCTCCTTCCTCTTCTCCTTCACCTTCCCCTTCCCCTTCCTTTTTTCCTTCTCCTTCTTCTGTGCAGAAGAACACAGTACTTGTCTTGCGCATTGTAGGATGTTTAATAGCATCCCTGGCCTCTGCATGTCCCACCTCTTAGAGCTGAAACAACCAAAAATATCTCAAGACATTGTGAAATGTACCCTCGTGATGAGAAATGCCCCTCCCTGCCAACATTGAGAACCACTGTTCTAGAGTCAAGGTGAAATGTGAATTACAAGAATTTGAGAATGAAAGCAGTTAAGAATACAACTACAGTGGTAAAAGTGAAACTTAATAAAGGCTTGAACTACATTAGCAGTGAGTAGGCTTGGACTGAAAGGAGTAGGACAATAAGACTTAAATATCATTTGGATGATAGGGTAGAATAGAGTAGGAGTTCAAGTTTTGGTTTGCATAATTAGGTGGATGATGGTGTCACTAAAAAGATGATCATATTACATATAACAGAAAACATATAGGATATGTTTCCTTAGATGTCTGTCATAGTTGCTGAATTTACTGACTCCAAAGAACCTCCAGATAAAAAGAATGAGAAAAAGTAGAACTTCACTAACTGTGCTTTGATTTGATTCTGGTCTTGATAAGCATGAACTTAACTGGTCTTCCTGATCCTCAGAATCATGAGAGTTACCACTCACACTGACATAGAGGACTGTGCAGTAGATTTGGTTTCTATCAATATGATAAAGTAGCAGAACACCCAAGAGGAGCAAGGAGGGGCATTCAAGTTAAACATGAAGTTGTAAAGAGAATCCTTCCACAGTTCCTCAGAAATAGAGACCTTTCCTCTAGAAAGCAGATAAAGACATGGTACAGCCAACTAGAAGGGGCCGCTCTACCTTAGTTTGGCAGCTATGTCTACATTTGTTCTATTCTTACTTACAAGGCACAATATTTATTAACATGCTAAAACTTTGCCTTGCTTTATATCTTAATACACTTCAATTACTGGAAGTTGTTATATGCAATAGTAAATAATGGATTGAGATACTTTACCTTAGGATGAAAAGCAAAACACATTCCAGGAGCCTGTCGAGATATCAGAGCTTCACCTTTTTTTTCCTTTTCCCCTCCCTTTTTGCTGCTGCTAGCAGTAGTTCGCCTCAAACGCATCAAATCTTTATTTAAAGAAAAAAACATGTATCTTATTTACCACATGAAAAAGTATTGTATATATAATGTGTGTCCCTTCTACAAAGAATAGTATGATTTCTGCCATCTTTTGCATGTGATTTGGTTAAAATTAGCAAATACCAGAACAAGATGCTTAGAAAAACAATGACAAAGCCCAGTATTTTTTCTTATGTAGCTAAACTAAAATTGGCCACCTCTTGCACATGGCTCACTAGAAATTTTAAGGCAACACATAACAAGAGAAAGATAATTGATTGATAAATACATATGTATGTATACATTCTTTTTACCATGACAGTCTAGTCCTTTCCGTATAACCCATTTGGAGATTCTTCCATCTGCTGATATAGAAACGAGTATTTCTCTTTTGTCATCACCTGTTGTCCCTCGATCTTGTTCTATCCACTGTAGTTGCCATACAGGTCCCAAATGTTTTTGAGGTGATTCACTAAAATGGGGAAAAGCACTAAATATAGAATCATCATCATAATTTTTAAAAGGACATGAGTCTCAGTCATAAGGACAGCTCCCTGGAGCACTGTGACCTACTTATAGAATGATGCCTTTATTATTATACTTTTACTTTAAGTATTTCAAAAAATGGGAAAAATAATCATTTTGTCATGTAGTATTTTTTGTTTTTCTCATTTCTTACAAAAGGAAAATTTTACTGCCTTTAATTACATTAACTGCCATAACAGAAATACAAAAGAAAATATTTTCTTTCTTTTCAGAATATATTTTCCTTACTCTATTCATTTACTTTTTCCTAGATAAGTTACGTAAATTTATTTTGGACACATTGAGTATAAGTATCTTTACCTGTATAAGGATTTTTTTCATAGCTTAAATGAATAAATTATTTAAGTCTTATTTAAATAAACAATTACCTCACCTTTCTTTCTGTGTTTCAGGTTTGCCCATTGGCTTGGTTCTCTATATGGCCAGATTTAACATTTTTCTGAAGAATTAAAATTGCTTCTCAGATTACTGACTGCTTTCCTATCAGAATAATGGGTTGCTCTGTTCATAGTACTGACTCCCTTGATTTTTTTATGCAAATCTTCCAAAGCAATAATTCTGAATCTTTTAAAAATCATATAGCTTTGATTATTTGGTAAAAGTTATAGATCATCTTCCCAGAAACAAGCACAAAGGCCCATGCTTATAAAACCATGCAAATAATTTCAAAGTTAAGCTTAAGGACCCTGCTTTATACCTATTTTCAGCTCTAGCTAAGTTTATTCAAACACTAATATAAATATACTACTTCATTTTTGCCCCAGTGGTATCTGATCTATTACAAAAACCTAACATATTCAATATTTTTCACTTTTCACTTTTTTATTTTCTCAATACACTTATTCATTCATTCATTTATTTTTAATCAAATACTTACTATAATCCTACTACATGCCTGATATTATGTGACAGGCCAAGGATACAAAAGTAAGACTTAATCCTTGACTTCAAATTGCTTACAGCTCTTCAGGAAGATATATATGTAAACAATATATATACAGTATGATAACTGCTATGATAACTAATACAAATGCACAAAAGAATGGAATGGGAAGGTTATGTGGAAGGGGTGACACCAAAGTAATAAAGGGTACAAACTTTCAGTTACAAGATGAGTAAGTTCTAGAGATATAATATACAGTATGATGATCATAGTTAATACTGTACTATATACTTGAAATTTGCTAAGAGAGTAGATCTTAACTGTTCTCACCACATACACAAAAAGGTAACTATGTGAGGTGACAGATGTATTAATCAATTTGATTGTAGTAAACATTCCACAATGTATACATATATTAAATAATTACGTTGTACCCCTTAAAAAAATCACATTGTATGACCTAAATGTATACAATTTTTATTTGTCAATTATACCTTAATAAAGCTGGGGAAATTTAAAAAATTTTTTTAAAAGAACAAACATAAACTGTCAAGGAAGGTTGGTGAGGCGGACAGAGAACATGCAGATTTTAGAATAAGAACATTCCAGCTAGAGAGAGAATATGAGGAATTATTAAATGTCTGAAAAAATAATGGTATCACTCTCAATAACAACATAAACATTCACTCAAAACTAAAAAACATTAAATTTTTACTTTTCCCTAAAAAAGCACATATTACATGTTTACCTAATTCTTGGATTCTCACCTACTATCCAGAACCGGAACATTACTGTTGCTCTGCACATTATAAATGGCAATGGTGCCATTGTGATAGCCAACTGCTAACAGATTAGGTGCTCCAATTGAGAAATCCACAGCAGTCACTCCATATGGACTCTGATAAATGCGTTCTGGCCACTAAATAAAAAAACTGTATTACATTTTAAACCTGGTTTTGCAGGCCATAAAAGAGCATAATGATGGCTGAATGGTGGATTGTCTGGTGACAGGGGAAATGTAAGAAGAGTTAGTCTACATTCAGTTACTCCTCTACCCCTAACTTCTAGTATAGATGAGAACCAAAGGTCAATTAGTCATTTCCTTTACTTTGGTGCATCCTCAGAGTGCAATAATTTTAAGAAATACAGCATGGCCTTCTCCAATAAGTATCATATTTTGTTAATCTTTCAGCAGGATTTGTATGATCTCATCATAGATCACCTTCTTTAAGAAACAAATAATGGACTCCAAACAAATTAGCTAGCAATGTTCCTATCTTCCAGTATCTGTTTCAGATGCTTGGATTATCTAGACATTTCTAAACAGTGGATAGAAGAAGCTCCAAAAAACTCTCTAAGGTAATCTCTTCTACAATTCTGTGAAGAGTTTTGTTGTTTTGTTTTGTTTAAAGTCTAATCTAAATCCTTTCCTGCTTCTAATAATCTATGTGGAAAAGAAGACAACTTACTGATTATGGATCTTATATCAATCCTTCCACATGTTTAAAATTGCTTCTTCCTTCCTTTCTTTTACTCTACATAAACCCAGCTTCCTAACAGACTGGGGCTATTTATAAAAGCTCTAATCTTTTTTTTTTTTTTTTGCCCTCTGACCCTTTTCTAAGTTTTCTACTTCACATTTCAGTTATTAATTAAAACTAATGTAAAGCTGCAAAGTAACATATTGACTACAACTGTTTGACAAAAAACATGATTGATTCTTATTCTTGAAAAAGTCATGCTAATAACATGGTCACATTCATCTATTTCATGTGTTCAGGATAGCAGAAATCTATCTTATAAGGCGATGATTTATTCATACATTAAGAAACAACCCAGTATTAAATGAAACATAATTTTCAAAGGATTTTCATTTGCAAATTTATTCTTCATTTTGATAAAAAATAATGGTTCAATTCTGGATCATCAGATCTAACAACACCTAGTAAATGCTCAATAAATATTTATTAAATGAATTTACCCTACACATCAACAAAAACAAATTTTAATTCTTACACATTTAAACCAAAAAAATAAAGTCTTCCTTGGTCATTTTTTGACTTTAATTATCACATACAACTAGGTACTTTATGAGAATTATGTCAACATTTAATTGAATAAAAATGGGTTTATTCCTATTTGGTTACCATAGGATTCTTTATTGACCAGCAGCAAGCCAATCCTCTTTTTTGCTCTTTAAATCCAAAGTGCCCATAGCCAACAGCCAAAAGATCCTGAAAACCAGCAAAGTATGTTTAAAATAAGAGAAGATAGCATAAAAATATTGGGAAATATATAAAGATGCATATTAATGAACTGTGTTAAAAACAGCAATAAGACATTTCTATTGAGAAAAAAGTACCAGTCTACCATCTATTTTTACTTTACACCTCCATCTTCCAAAACAAAATAATAATCATCATATTTTCAGACTAATGAATATCTAAAAAGAATCAATTGCTAAAAAGTTCTTTTATATATTGAGATAATCTTCCAAGATTATATTACTACATTATAATGTTTTGTAGTTTTTTGAGAGTGACCTAATTATTTCAAATATAAAGACAGGGTGCCATGAACTGAATTGTGTCTCTTTTCTTAAAATTCATGTGTTGCAGTCTTAATCCCCAATATCATTATTTTGAAGATAGGGCTTTTAGGAGGTAACCAGGATTAAATGAGGTCATAAGGGTCATAATCTTAATCCAATAGGATTGGTGGATATAAAAAGAGGAAGAGACACCAGAGCTCTCTCTTTCCATCATGTGAGAGCACAGCAAGAAGGTGGCCATCTGCAAGCCAGGAAGAGAGCCTTCACCCAGAACCAAATCAGCCAGCACCTTGATCCTAAACTTCCTGGACTCCAGAACTACAAGAAAATACATTTCTGTTTTTTAACCCAGCCAGTCTAGGTATTTTGTTATGGTACCCCAAACTGATTAATAAAGCAGGTCATTTCAAAAAATGCTTATAGACAAAAATTTAATAACTGACCAAACCCAGCCTCTTCTTCGTAATCAGAATACCTTTATCAAAATATATTATTATATTTTTTGCCACAATCCTATTTTCAAGCCAACATCATGTCTCTATAATTTCCTCTGTCTTAAACTACTCTTCATCACTATTCCTTTTACCCTGACATGGACAAGCTTTTATTAATCTCTTCTAGACTCAGCATAGGCACCACTTCCTCTGAGAAGCATTCATGAGCCTCTCTTATGTATTCCCACAGCACTAGCTATTTTCCTTATTAAAGCACATAGAGACCATTATACAGGCAGGGTCTATGTATGACTAAATTGCTACTGCAACTCTAGTGCCTTATCAGAGTTCCTGGCACAGAGTGAATGTTCAGTAAGTATTTGTAGAATGAATTAATAAATATGATAGATGCTGTTTGTCATATTTTTTAGCTTCACTAAAAATTATTTAACTTTAATCTCAATAGCAATATATTAACTTTTAAAATGCTAGTATATTCAGTTTCTAAAAATGATTTATCTGTCTTTATTACACAGTTATTATTGATTATTAAATCTCACTTATCTAACAAGATGTTTCCAAATATAGTTTTATAAAGACCAATCCATACTAAAACGTATTTTATGTTATTAAAAATAATGTGCATAACTTAAATAATGTGTTACCTGGTTTCTATAAAAATGATTACAGAACTTCTGAATTTTAATAATCATAACAATGAGCGTATTTGCACATAGCACCTTATAAGGTGTGGCAGTAAAATAATAAGGCTAATTCTTAAACATACATAGTACAATGCAGTTTAGACAAACAAATTAGTTTTGACCACTTAAAAATACACCGAATGTGCTATGGTGAGCGCTGTGAATTGTGTAAGACTGTTGAATCACAGACCTGTACCTCTGAAACAAATAATACATTATATGTT